GGATGCTCCATGGCGTAGAGGAAGGTCGGGATGATCGGCACTGGAGGACGAAGATAGATTGATTGGTTCAGTAAAGATAAACATTAGACGTTTTGTCTTGTAATGAATGTCTCTGAGAACCTTTTCACGAGCAGAATGATGTAAAAATTAACTCTGAGGATGTAATAAACATGATTTACATGATTTAGTAATGTCTGCTTTTAGGGCTCATTCTGCTGTTAAAGTCAATCTAAAGTATGTAAATGTAGGAAATGGTGTTTCATTTCTTCCTCACTGAAGAACTGGAGTCTTCCTCAGTGCTGACACCACTGGCCAAAAGATATATTACAGCAGCACCACTGAATCAAACAGTGTTCTTCTTTAGCTGCGTTTCCACTGCAGGAACTGTGAAGTTCACACAGAAACTGTAAAGGAAGAAAAGCAGTAAATGCTCTCCAGTACGACAGAGACTTCAGCCTCCAGCAGAGCTACGAGTGAGAGACGTGTCCACATTTATTGACCCATAATCTAGTAAACAAGCAAACTTCCTGTTTACAGCGGCACCCACGTGCCCAGTGTACGTGAATAGTCATGTGATATTCGTTTTCAGGTGTGTTAGTGTGGACGGAAACTGACGGAAAATGCAGGAAACCGGGGATCCCCATTGACTTGCATCCTCAGGACAATTGCTTACAGTTACACACAACTTTGCACAACCCTTCTCTATTAATACACACTCGGTACTTTAATAACACACTTGTTTTAACATACTCTTATTTGTTTGTTAAACATATTTTACTGTAAATATGCAGTATTATTATATTATTATTAGTATTTATTGTCGTGCACCAGGACTAATTCCTTGTATGTATGATGTACTTCTTTCTGTATTTTTGATTTCTTCCAGTAACTAATTCTAAGAGTGAAATGTGCGACTTTGGAGCGATGGACGAGTTGATTCTCAATAAAAAGTCAGTGTGTTTCTGCACACTCAATACTTAGTCTGTCTGATTAATATGTCTGACGGAGTTTATTCTAAATATGACGTAGAATATGAGATGCTCTAATGCTTCCACTTTACAGATCAATAATGTTTTAATAATTATCACCTGAACAGATCTTCTGTTACTTGATACTAGAAGGTAAACTTCTCCATTTCAACCTGAATAAAGATGAACTCATTATTCTTTTATTTCACTTTATTCTTCGCATGTTTCTGTATATTTGGTTCTGTCCAGTAACATTCTGGGGAATTATTGTGCAATTATGTTGCATCCAAATGAAGCTGATTATTGATTCAGGATTTATTGATTGATTGATTGATTAGGAGGTAAAAATGTATTTAAAGCCGTAAAGAAGCTGTAATGACATTTAAAACCCATCAGAGGAGAAAAGAGCAGAGATTTAGTCTGAGAAGAAACCGAAGGAGACAAGTGAGACCTGAGACGGACGCATTTAAAGTTTAAGGTCTGGAGGTTTTGTGTGTGTGTGTGTGTGTGTGTGTGTGTGTGTGTGTGTGTGTGAGTCTAAATGCTGACGACAGCGTTGACCTCCAGGTTTTTTTACTTGCGTCACAGATAACAGCAGCCGAGACTGTTAAACACCACGAGATCATGTGACTCCATCTTCATCACTGACTATGTTTACATGAACCATCCATCCATCCTCCTCCTCCTCCTCTTATCCGGGGTCGGGTCGCGGTGGCAGCAGGTCAAGCAGGCCGACCCAGACCTCCCTCTCCCCGGCAACATGTTCCAGCTCATTCTGGGGGATCCCGAGGCGTTCCCAGGCCAGCTGGGAGATGTAATCCCTCCAGCGTGTTCTGGGTCTTCCCCGGGGTCTCTTCCCAGTTGGACGTGCCTGGAAAACCTCCAGTGGGAGGCGTCCAGGAGGCATCCTAATTAGATGCCCGAACCACCTCAGCTGACTCCTTTCGACGCGAAGGAGTAGCGGCTCGACTCCAAGCTCCCTCCTGATGACCGAGCTCCTTACCCTATCTCTAAGGCTGAGCCCGGCCACCCTACGGAGGAAGCTCATTTCGGCCGCTTGTAGCCGCGACCTTGTCCTTTCGGTCACGACCCAGAGTTCGTGACCATAGGTGAGGGTAGGAACGTAGACCGAGTGGTAAATTGAGAGCTTTGCCTTCCGGCTCAGCTCCCTCTTCACCAAAACGGTCCGGTGCAGCGCCTGCTTTACTGCTGCAGCCGCACCGATCCGCCTGTCGATCTCCCGCTCCATCTTACCCTCACTCGTGAACAAGACCCCGTGATACTTCAACTCCTTGGCTTGAGGTAGGCACTCCGTCCCCACCTGGAGGGAGCAATCCACCGGTTTCCGGCAGAGCACCATGGCCTCAGATTTGGAGGTGCTAACTCTCATCCCCGCCGCTTCACACTCGGCTGCAAACCGCCCCAGTGAATGCTGGAGGTCACGATCCGAGGAGGCCAACAGGACCACATCATCTGCAAACAGCAGAGAGGCGATCCCGAGACCCCCGAACCTGACGTTCTCCACCCCCAGG